CAAATCTGTTGAAGTGCAGTGAGCTGAGGTGAACTCACTCCATCAGTTTTTCTTTCCTGTAACTCGGATACTTGAACCCGCTCTCTAGATGTGTAACTCTGTTAATAGGCAAAGTGGAGGATTTCTCAGGGATGCAGATTTGGGGATCAGCCTGAACCTCTTTCTGGTTCATACGCACAGGGAATGGGACTGTTGGTGGATTTCTTGAACCTGATTAAGTAAAGAAAGAGAAAAGTAAAAGGTTAAACATGTCTTGCGACTTGGGTGTAATAAATGTGTGCCATTTAAACTCTTACTTGAATCTCTGTGTGTGCGTGGGAATCTTTATTTCCCTTCCTGTGCTCTCTGATCCACAAATCTCTGCTGGTTGCTGCGGTGACAAAAGCAGGTCAGAGTCCTGCTACTCCATTGTCTCTCGCGCGTCTCCGCTTTGTTTATCTTCTGCCTGTCTGATCCTTGAACAGCGGGACCAACGCGATCCGGCTCAGTTCCGCGATTTCGGAACAGAAGCAGTGGGAACTCGTCTAGCTGCAGCGTCGCCGGCTCCTCAGCAGCGGGAGCAAGGCGCGCCGGATAGCGTGTATGTGAACCAAAAAAGGCTCATTGAAAAAAAAACTGTTGAAGTTTTAAAAGTGATGGACCACAAGGCCTCTCCTCTTACCTCCTAGAGAGAACGCGTGGCTTTGGAACGCGCTCCACTCCATCAGTTTAGTTCTGCTGGTTACATACAGCTACCAGACTCTGTTTTCTACACGCATCCCTAAGTTACTGTTGAGGCTGGGAGTTTTTAAGGAAACAACGGGTTGTGTGTGATCTTTCCTCATTTCTTAGAGGCGAAGGATGATTCCGCGTGGTGAGCGTGTAGGGTGCGCTATGCTGTGCGGGCGCTGGAGCGCTGTTAATGCTTCTCCTCTCACTTGGCGTTTCCTTGCCTGTCAGTGCTTATTTGAGAATAATCTGCTCGGTCTCCCATTTAGCCTGCAATAAACTGCTTTCCTTGTTTCCTCAGGAAAGGAGATGTAGCGTTATTGAACTGCACAGCCATAGTAAATACCAGTAATGAGTCTCTCACAGATAAGAATCCGGTATCTGAAAGTATATTCATGCATGCTGGGCCTGACCTGAGGGATGAACTCCAGAAGCTCAAAGGTAGGTGGCTGGGGATGTTTTTATCTTATTGAAATCTACTGTCAAACATGAGGATTTGGGCATTGGCACGTGTTTATACCTTGATTTTAGACTGTCTGGTCTCTTGTCTTTTTGCCGTTCAGGTTACGGATCGCTGAAAATCCGTGGCAGATACAGGAGTTGCTGTGCCCTTACTTTGTGATACAGTAATTCCCATTATCTGAAGCCACTTAGAGTAGTTACCTTATCAGAGCTTTCGCCTGAGGGGCCGGTCTTGTACCTCTCCATGTCTTGCTCTTGTCCTCTTCAGCGTTTATACGCTGTGGAAGACGGGGACTGGAGTTTGCTGTTGCTGAAAGTGAGTGAGTTCTAGTACACGAGTTGTGTAGCCTCTTTCAGGCTGTTAATGCACAGAGCCTTTCGGGTAACTATGGCAATAGTAGATGGATTGGCAAAACACGGGATGTGTAAACAGAGTCTTAGTGACTACTTAAACTGTTCAGCTCGTTTGCCTCTGCGGCACAGCAGAAGGTTTTATTAGAAGGTTACAAGATGGTCTGTAATGGAAGGCTGCTCTGGAGGTGGATGAGGTTTGCTTTACCTAGATCCTTTATTAACAGGGTTTAGGGCTGATAATGAAGTGTAGAAATGCTCAGCTTTATTTCCCGTCCACATTAGATGAAGACTCTCCTTATTTTGTGTGTGAGGAATAAAGAGTTTAGTTACCCAGGGTTATGCAGAAGTCTGATACGGTTTGAGGTTAAGAATTCCAAGTTAAATATCATGGCTTTTCTATCCATTTTGTTACTTGTAATACAAACCATCAGTAGCTTAAATTCTAATTGAATAGGCACCCTCTGTTTTTATAAAATCATATTTTGCCGAGTCAGCTTGCTTTCTGAGTAACCTGGAAGTAAAACAGGAGGAAGGATAACCATTTCATAGGAGAGGGAGAAGTCATTGTGACCTTTGGGTGGAAACAACTGTTGAAATACAGCAGGTGTTACAGAACGGTGAGGACCCTGCTAGGAACTTTACCAAAATAAACTTGTGGGTTTTGTGTGCACTGCGAGGTGGGAAGAGAGGGACAGCATTCCAAGGAGTCCTATATTTGGGATCTGTCAGCTCTGTAGGGAGATTTTGTAAGTAAGTTGGGTTTAGCTTCTCCAAGTCCCCTTTACGGTGCCGAGTTACGTGTAGTTTTGCATCCTGCACCGCTGTGGTGACACTGACATCTTCTCTCCCCGGTGCATTCTGCGGGTTCAGGACTCTCTCTGCGTGACGGTTTCTTTTCAGTCGTGTGACAAGAACTTTTCAGAAACCAGTTCTTCTGTGACGCTCTCCTGGCGCCTTGCGTGGGGGAGGAAAGAGAGGCTGGCTTACTGCTTTGGCGTTTGTGCACCCTTAAAGCGTTTGTCACGGAAGCGAAGGGAGCTTACTTAAGGAATTAGTTGGAAGTTTTTGGCACCTTTTTGTGCCCTCTCCCGTACAACTCTGAACTTGTTCCATCGGAGGGTGTTCCTGGGAAGAAGTGAAAACATATGGTCTTGGCTCTGAAGCCATAAAATGGGGGCAGCGGTGACTTTCAGTTAGTTCTCTCCTGCTTTATTCCCGCTGCTCGGTATATATTTGTATTTCAGACACTCCCAAGGAAAATCATGATCTCGAAGCATGTGATGTGCTGACCTTTTAAAGGCCTGTGCTTTCTTTAAGGCTCAGCTAAATTTTGGGCTCCTGGGAACAGTGCCTAGCTTTGATTTCCACAGAAATACTGCAGTCAAGGGTCCAGGCTTGCAAATGAAGCACTGCTGAGACATGCTTGCCTGTCCACACATACCTGGTGCGGCCTAATAAAGACCTTCTGTGACAGCAATGCACAGCGTTCTTCCAGCTCCAGGGAGACTCTGTTTGCTGAGCACTTTATATGGAGGATTCAGACTTTCCATTTTGAACTTGGAGAGAAGCTGTTCTAATGTTTGATTACTGGATCCAAAATAAGATCCTGATGTTGGTCCCAGTTTTGCCATGGACCTTGAACTGGGTGGCTCACTCTACCAGCTCACCTCACCCTGTGCCTTAAAATAGGAGTAATACTGCTCATCTGAGTTTTATAGATTCTGTAGACATCTCCAGGCAGAAGGCACTAAGTGTGATGTAAGCACAGTTAGAGATTATTGAGACTATGTCTGGTTGTCTGTGTTTATTAGTTTCCCTGCTGAATTCACAGCTGTACCTCAGTCAAACTTGCTTCATTCTTTTTCACAAGACCTGTTTATCTACAGGCCTTTGCTTGCTCTTTTTTCAAGTTGTGTGACTTGGATGGAATAGTAACTTGATATCTGATATATTAAGTGTTTCAGTTTTAGCTCCTACTTTTTCAGTGTGTCGTGGTTTAATCCCAGCCAGCAACCAAGTACCACACAGCCCCAGTGGAGCAGAATGAGAGGAAGAGACAAGGAAACTCGTGGGTTGAGACAAGACCAATTCAATCGAATGCCAAGGAATAAAATAGTGATAATACCACCAACAGTATTAATATTAATATTACTACTACTATTAAGTAGTAAGAATAATACTGCTGCTACTAATAACATGTATCATTTATTTACATCACAACTGCTCACTACCCGCTGACTGATGCCCAGCCAGGTCCCAAATAGCGAGGGCCTGAGAGCTAGGCCAGGCCTGAGAGAGAGATTGCACCAGACCCAGAGCAAGCCCCAGTGAGCGAGAGAGTGAGTGACCCCCAGCCCACCCCCAACTTACATACTGATGATGATGTTTTAGGGAATGAAATACCCCTTTGGTCAGTTTGGGTTAGCTGGAGGGGGACGGAGTCTTGAGAGCTTCTCACAGAGAAAAGGTTGGGAACGCAGGTGCGGTGTCAGGAACCAAAAAAGTCCTTCACTCAGTATAAACACTCCTTAGCAACAACAAAACCCACTAGTGTTACAAATACTCTTGTTACAAACCCAAAACATAGCCTTGTAGTAGCTACTGTGGGGAAAATTAGCTCCAATCCAATGAAAACCAGCACACAACATTGTGCTTATCTTGGTTGGTGTCTTAGAGGATGTGCAGTGATTCAGAAGAGTATGCTTACTTCTGGTATGCTCATATATTCCATGTGCTCAACCCAGAAGAAACCAGGTAAAGTCTAGAGAAGCTAATTATGTGATTTGGTCGATCAAAAAGTTTACAAGGTGTTGGCTTAAGAGACACGCTTAAAGCTTTGAGTAAGAGCGATTCTCAACCTGGAATGTCTGTTGCCATGACGTACGCTCTCAGGCGTGCTGGTGGCCTGCCTGGGCACCATGGGGAGCGGTGAACGGTCTCGTTCCGTGGTCAGCTTCACGACTGACTCTAGCCAAGCTTCTGAGGTGCTGCTGCCAGCAGGGTGCTTGCAGCCGCCTCTTCACGTTGCCTCCCTTTCCGTGGGCGCTAGCGACCTATAGGACCAGGTTGAAAGCTAATCCTGTGAAAATAGCAGTTTTCAGGCAAATTAGAAAGCTGAGGTGCAACTGTACAAGAAGGTGGAAAATGTTTGTCTTTGAGGAGAGAGGAAGACTGGAGGTACTTCTTCAGTTGTACAGAACTGGAGTAGCCTAGGTTTGGGTGAAGAAGTGGAGAGTTAGCGGACTCTTCTTCCAGATGCCAAAGGAAAAACGGGCTTCAAACACAGTATCTGTTCCTGGGTTTTTCATTATGAGAATGGTGTTGACAGTCGGAAGGGAACAGAGAGGTCTATGGGTGTCATCAAGGGTTCCTACAGACTGATTTCCCTTGTGAAAAAATTACAGGAGTCAAGTACGAGTAACTTGCAAGGGATGGCTGCAGAGCAGTCAAAACCAAATATAACGAGGTCAAGAGTGCTAGCATGCAGTCAGGGATCCTCGAGTGTGTAACTGGAGGGTGCTGTGAATGGAGCAGTTAAATGCGTCACTTGAACTTCCTTGCCTTGAGACTAGGCACCTAGCCTCTCGAGAAAGTAGGGTCTCCAGGAGATCTGCCTTGCGGACACACAGACTTGCAAAACCAAGCGAGCTGCCTCGTTCTGGGAGCGTGGATGAAACGAGCGTTTGAGCTATTCATTTTTAATAGCTCTGCCAGCAGCTGTTGGGTTTGATGAAGGAGCTGTGTAGTCCTTTCATCCAAAAAACAATCTCCCCAAACCAGGTTGTTGAATTCGGAAGGGCTTTTTATTGCTGGTTGTGTAGCGCTGATCGTGCATCAGCGCGTTGGTAAATCACTTCTCCCTTCGGCTCCGTATGTAGCCCGGCAAGCGCTGCGATTAAGGCGGCACTTCCAGCAATTTCTGCTCTGTCCTTAGAAGCGTAGTTTTAAAATTGAGAGGGATGAGCACAGCTCTCGCCTCCCCAAACTGACTGGGCGCTACAAAGCAGCGGTTATGAGATGGAACGCTATCCTTAATATCTGATGTCTATGACATGGACTTCTGTCTACGGAGCTCCCTGACTCCGGAGGAAGTCACAGTCTCGAGTGCTTCCAGCTTCTTGTCGTGACATTGGCGCTTCCCTTTGTGTGTGTTTTTTGTTTTTTTTTTTTTTCAGGGTGCAGGACAGGCGAGGCTAAACTCACCAAAGGGTTTAATTTGGCTGCCCGTTTCATCATTCACACGGTGGGACCCAAGTACAAAAGCCGGTATCGCACGGCAGCCGAGAGCTCTCTGTACAGCTGTTACCGCAACGTCCTGCAGCTCGCCAAGTAAGCCCGCGGCGGTTGGCGGGAGGGTTTGCCGTCGGCGGCACGTCGGGTCTAGGTGCGCAGGCCCGGGCAGAGAGCTGCGCCCGTCTTCTCACGTGTCCTGGGTTTGGGGAAGGATGCGAGAACGTTAGCGGCCTCGTGGTACACTCCGTGCCTTGTGTTATCTGCGTTGTGGTGTAGATAAAATGCGCGGGGCCGTTTCAAGTCCTTGGAGCGGCGCAGCAGCGGGGTGCTGTGAGGAGAAGCGGCCTTGATAACTGCGCTGGGCTCTGTGCTGAGAAGAGCTTTACGTCAGCTCGCCCAAGCAGCGGCTTCGCGTGTCCCTGCAGCCGCGGGGACGTACCCACAGGGAGATCCGACTGCCGTATCCGTTGGCATGTTCTGCCTGTACAACAGCCATCTAAAACTCGGAGTCAGGGTGCAAGGTTATTTCTAAATCCACAGTTGATGCAAAAGGGTTTGTAATTTTCTTTCATCTGTGGTATTTTCTACTTCCTCTTAGCTCTAACAGGTTTGGGTTTTTCCTATTTTTCTCTGTTCTTTCCTCTATCCTGTTCATCTCCTGTGACAGCTGTTGTAATGGTAGCAGCCACAAAAAATACCTGAGCAAGAGCAATGCCAGAAAATACTTAACAGCTTAAGGTTGGGAAGATCGATTCTTCCAAGTCTGGACTGTGTGTTGGAGTGCAACAGCAACTGTTTCATAATCAAGATTACAGCTAAGGTCTCTAGCACGTGCCAGTCTTGCTCTGCCTTGGAACTAGAAAGTTAAGTCAGGCCTGGATTGAAACATGTCAAAACCAGTTTTAAAAACTCGAATGATTCTGCTTACTGAATGCCTTTCAGCCAGTCTCCTCTAGATCTAGAGTAACTTTTGACGCTTCTGAAAGTCTCTACCAGCTCGGAGCTTGCTCAAAGTCCTCTGACTTGGCAGCACCTCTGCTTTACTCTCTAAAACTGTGGCTCCCTGCTGGAAGCATCTTAGAGTGCGTATCACTCCCCACCGGAGACCGTCTGAGTGTACCTAGGGCTGAGTAGGCCACGTTGGTTGGTGTCCAGACCTCTGACAAAACCAGTGGTAGGTCAGGTGGAGAAACAGGAGGATGCTTGCAGTAGAGAGCACCTTCTTTTTTCCCTACTTCTCCTCACTGTCAGTCCTGTACAGGAAGTCTTTTGGAAAGGATTGCAGGGAGCTTGAGGGAAGAACTTCTTCATCGGGATATGAGAAACTGCGGGAACAACGTAGCTGAGGTAGGAGGAGAAATCTGAGAACAAGCAGAAGAGGAAACGGTGTGGAATCATTAATCCTTCTCTGCTTAGTGGTGGTAACATCTTGCCAGGAAAGAATCCTTCTGCAAAAACCTGGAAGAGTTGCTGCTGCATAGAGGCAGGAAAAAAAGCGCCGGTGTTTATTTAAGGTTCTGCCAGACACCTGTTCTCATCTGACCATCTCCTCATTTGTTTCTCTTTCTGCATTTCAGGGAACAGGCAATGTGCTCTGTAGGATTTTGTGTCATTAACTCTCTGAAAAGATGCTACCCCTTGGAGGATGCAACGCACATAGCGCTGCGTAAGTTTGCCGGCGAGCGGCGTAAACCGGACAGCAGCGTTCGGCGCGTGGCTGACCTCTAACCACCGCTCTTGGTATGGGGAAGCCTTTTTCAGGGGGCTGTGGTTTGTTAGAGACTGTAAAAAGGCAAGGCCTTCCATGGTTGAGCAGGAAACGGAGGGTGAAAAAGAACGATCCTCTCTCTGTTGAGAGGTCATCAGTAAAGATCCATGAGAATCTGTGCTGGAGCTTGCAGTCTTCAATGTATTATTAATAACCTGGGAAAGATGCTTAACAGAGAGAGGTGAGGGAGTTGGGTGGTGATAGAAAATTGTTCAGACTAGCAAAGGGGAGGCCTTACTGGTCAATAGCTGTAGAGGGACCTCAAGCAAGAGAGTGAACGTCATCTGCTGTTTCAGTGTCATCAGCATATCCAAATGTGAAGTGACTGTTCTCTCACTGACCCACCCCTCTGTGCTTCTGCCTTCACGTGCAAAGCGATGGGCTGATCCAGGGAACTGCACCTTGGGGCGATGACGGTCCCGTGAAACCAGCAGCTCGCTGGAGTTGAAACCAGCAAGCTGAGTGGGACACAGCAAAACGAAGCGCTGTGCTGTGGGTCTGTGTTTTGTCCACCTCTTAAAGCTGCACAGTCAGAAGGAACATAGTAGAAATAGAAGGTGAGGAAGTCAGCAAGAATAGGGAAAGGCAGGGAACAGCCAAGTAACTCCAGTCTCTTTCAGACTGGAATACACTGAACTTGGAGTGCAGTAGATGGCTCTAAACTCCAGTGCCGTGGGAATGGAGAATAGGCATCACCCGTTCACTGTCTCCCAAAATAAGAACCTTCCAGCAATGCCAGTGTGGATCATATTCAGAACAAACAAAGGGAGAGGGTTCTTAGGTTTACATTATTTGCTTTATGGGACCTTTTACTGAAAAGCATTGTAGGTGCTACAAGTTTTCAAACTTGTTTGGGTTCAAGAGGAAACTGTAGTGAAAAGAAAAATAAAAAGGCTGCTAAAAGCAAATCAGAGCATTTCCTAGGCTGAAAATAAGGAAAAGTGCTCAGAGGAGATTATTATATACTTGCCTGTTTTTTACTTTTCCCTTTTCTCTCTTGATTTTTTTTTTTTAACCCACTTTCATTGGCCTGCTCCTGTCTGCTTCCCACCCCCCAGTCCCTGGACCTTCCTGCATGGGGCTCCCATACAACAGGGAAGCTGTTGCAGGTGGATGGAGTGGGTTTTCCTCCTGCTGTGCAGGCTGGCTGGGGAAATCTTTCTTACCTTCTGTTTAGCAGAGGTGCCGACACTGGAAAAACACGTCAGGCCGTCTCTGCACTCTGGCTCTGGACTGAGCAGATGTTTTCAGATGTCTCACAGGTTCAGAAAACCCTTTGGGAAACCGCCCAGCTGCATTGTCCCATACAGTGGTGTTGCGGGGTGACCCAAATACACCCCAATTTCTGTACAGAAAGTATTTGAAAATCGCTTTTTGTTTCATTTGTTACCAAACTCGTGTGAATGTATTCTCTGTAGAGCAGACTTTCCTTCACTGCTCTCTTCTGTTGCCTCTGTGGGGCGACGTGCTGCTTCATAAAATGCTGCCAGACAAACCTATTTGTTTGGACGCTTTCTGTCTCGGCAGTCTGACAGGAAAGCGCTTGGAAATCCTGGCGTGTCAAGGTTATTGCAGCTCGGGGACCTCATCTGTACAAGGATGTGTCTGACTGGGAGCTTGCTTACAAAACAGCCCTCAGCTGCAAATGCTTAGGAACTTGACTGTGTCCCTGCATTATACTAAAGCTTGGGTGGGTCAGAAACAAGTAATGGAGGAAATAATTTCTCATGAGTTACGAATATAATTTTTATATGCCTCTTTGGCATAGCTGACCTTGGAGTTTTTGTGTGGCTGACTGTCTTGTACCAGCTTGTGCTGCAGCTTGCTTATCTTGCTTTCCTGAAAACTGAGGGCACAGTGAGTTTTTCTAGGAACATCTGGTTTTGGCAATTTGCACAGGACTATAGGGAAGGATTTGACTTTGCAGGGCTATAGAGTCATATTCCATAGACTAAGGAATACCTAATGAGCTTAAATCAGAGAGACTTTTTCTCTTTTTGTATCCATCTCTAAAGAGGGGAGCAGGAGAGCGTGGATGCGGAACTCCCAGTGTGGCCAACAGCCTGTTTGGTGTGTTAAACTACCACTTCACCCACACTTGCCTACAGCCTGAGGAGCTGTTTTGTGTGAGGAGGAAGATGTCCCCCTCTGTTCTGCACTCCGACTTCCTCACTTCTAGTCTGGGGTGTAAATTTCTCCTCCGGTTTCGCTAACGACATGTAATCTTCTTCCTGGCAGGCACAGTTAGAAGGTTCCTGGAGATTCACGGGGAGACTCTGGAGAAGGTGGTGTTTGCGGTCTCTGAGCTTGAAGAGGTACCTCCTTGATGTTCATCCTACCAAAACTCACGGGCATGTTTGATCTTCTCTGCAGCAGCATCGACTTCCGCGCCATAGAGCTGCGTTCGGATTTCCCCTTCAGATCACACGGGCTCTTAGTCTTGCAGCATCCTCCTGCCCTGCTGCGTAGCATCTCCTCCACAACTCTTTGTGTTCTCAGCAGTCATTAGGGACATGGTTCGGAATCTTTCCGCTCCTGGCTTCTGCTGCTGGCAGTTCCTGGGCAGAACACCCACACGGTGTTCAGGTTCTGTGGCAGCTGGATGAGGAAAATAACTTCTCGAGAGTTCTAACGCTAATCAGTTGGAGAGGACACGTGAAGTAGTAGAGTGTTCAGTAGATATTGTCATGGTTTTCTTCCGTGTGGTGAGGGTTTTTCTTGGTTGGCTGCTGCTTTTTCCCAGTCAGATGACTGAAGGTGATCAGCACAGTAATGCTGTTTGAAGTCTGTCACCCGTGCATGTTGTAACCTCCTTACAAAGCTCAAGGGGCTGCGTTCTGCCCGAGTTCATGCAGGTTAGAGCAGAGCCCTCTCCAGGCTGTTCGCCAGTGCGGCAAAAAAACCTTTATCAAGGTTTTTCTGCCTTTGTTGCAGGGTAATAGCCCAAAATAAGCCATTGTGGGAAGTGGTGCTTGGCATCCAAGCCGCTGAGAAGGCACCACAAGGGCAGGTGCTGCTCAGCTGAGGAGTCAGGGTGCGTGATAGGCCCTTCACGCGTTTTTCTTATTCGTAGGCCACTTACCAGAAGTTGCTGCCTCTGTATTTTCCAAGATCGTTGGAAGAAGAGATACAATCCTTGCCTTACCTCCCTGCAGATATTGGCAATGCAGAAGGAGAGCCTGTAGTACCAGAGCGGCAGATCAGGATTACGGAAAAGCCAGGTGTTCCGGACGGTGAGTTCTTAACTTGGGAGTAAGTGTCTCAGTGGGAGAGTCAAAAACCAGGAAAGGCACATAGGAAGCAGAGGGATGTTTTCCTACCCCAGCTCGCCTAGGGCAGGCTGTAGTGAAGACAGTTGTCCAGCTGCCTCGTTCACTTCGTGTGTTCCGCAGCAGTAACTTCACTTTCCGCCTCGCTGCGTAGCGTGATGTGGTTGGAGGACGCGGTAGAGCTCTTCCGCCTTGTTCTCTCTGGGGGGCAGAGGTGTGGGGTAGTTCGTTCCCCTTGTGCACTTTCTCCCGAAGCAATTAGGGCCTCTGCAGCTTTTGTGCAGCCCCTGCCTTAAGGCACTGCTGTTACAGTCTAGCTTGCAAGCAGCACTGCTAATAGACGCATTAAACCTGTCTCAGATGGTCAGTTTTCATTCGGTGGATGCCCCATCCCTGGAAGTGTTCAAGGCCAGGCTGGATGAGGCTTGGAGCAACCTGGTCTAGTGGAAGGTGTCCCTGCCCATGGCAGAGGGAGTGGAACTGGGTGGTCTTTAAGGTCCCTCACAACTCAAACCAGTCTGTGATTCTGTGGACACAGCGTGTGCATCAATGAAAACTAGCAGAAACTCCCTGAAGGAGAAGGAACTAGATCAAGTTCAGGGATGAGTGTTTGGGAGAAGGCTGTTGGAGCTTGGTGGGAGAAGGCTGTAAGAGGTTGCCGAGACGTCAGGGTGGAGGAGGCGAGATACGTATGGCAGAGCAGTTCAGTACCTACACAGGCATCGCTGGCACCTTCTGCCTCATTTATCGGGCAGTGCTGTCAAGTTTTACACTCCTGCGGGAGAAGCCTTAAACCACCCAAAGCAGGTAAATTGAAATGGGCTTCAAAGGTGTTCCGCTTGCACGTGGCCAGTGGGGATAAGGCTGAATATGCAGCGAGGATACAGACAATTTTCCTCTTGACACTTTGATCCCTGATGGACCTACTCCTGCTGATCAGACTCCAGTGAGCTTAATTTGTGGAATCCCTCGGCTCTCCTGCCTAGGGGCCAATGGGCGTAGCTGCATCCTGCGCTCCCGACCCGTTGCCGCTATAGCCTGTCGTGCTAAAACCGGGACACCCGCTTCCCATCCAGGTTGCGCAGAGGTCATGCTGGAGGCCTCAGCGGCGTTCCTGGACGGCGTCAGGTTCAGCGGGGTGCTCTGGCATTGTCACCTGCATCCCTGCGCTCCTGTATTGCATCGCACAGTAAATGCTGCGGAAGTATCCAAGCTCTGTTTACCCCCAGCCCTCCGGCATCCGTTCAGGCAGTGCCAGTGATCCAAAGAGGAGTGAGCCCTGTTTACAGTACGGCTCCTAAACTCAGTAAAGCTGCAGCGTCTGTCCCTCTGCGTGCTTATTTTTCCCCTGTGACAAGTAGGAGAGCTGTAAAGCCCAAGTTGCTTTCTCCAGCCCCTGTGTTTTTGAGAGGGTTGATGGTTATCCTGCTGTTATAAGGTGATGGCTAGGATTTGCCCAGTTAGTTTCCAGACAAACCAACATTTTAATGGACTCCACAGTTATGGATCACATGCTATAATCTGTCAGTGGTACCAGTGAGGTACTGGACCCACGTCATTTAGATTGGATATCAGGAAGAAGTTCTTCCCGGAGAGGGTGGTGAGGCACTGCGACAGGTTGCCCAGAGAAGCTGTGGATGCCCCATCCCTGGAAGTGTCCAAGGCCAGGCTGGATGAGGCTTGGAGCAACCTGGTCTAGTGGAAGGTGTCCCTGCCCATGGCAGGGGGGTTGGAACTGGGTGGTCTTTAAGGTCCTTTCCAACCCAAACCATTCCATGCTTCTCTGACTGTGGGATTCTGTGTTAGCGGGTAGCATGCCAACGGGGTTGTCTCTCCGGGATATACAGCAGTTTATCAGCAGCGTTGCTGTCTTGTACGCCGCTCGAATGTTTTACACTGCCTTTGTTTCTACTGCAGATGCTTCAGATGAAGAGGGTCTGGAGGCAGACCTGTCTTTCATTGGTTCCCATGCTTTTGCCCGCATGGAGGGAGACGTTGATAAACAGAGGCGCCTCATCCTTCAGGGACAGTTGTCAGAGGCGGCGCTGCAGAAACAGCATCAGAGGAAGTAAGAATTTCCTTGTCTGTGAATGTTTTGGGTTAGTTGGCTGTTCAGAGGCGCAACCCTTCTGATGAATCTTACCTGCTAAGCCTGATCTGGCAAGGAAATACCGATAGAGCCTGGTGGTGCCTTGTGACAGGAGAAGGGAAGGGGCAGCAGGAGAAGGGGAGCTAGTGATGAACCCACTAGTGTGCCCGGTGCATCCGAACAGCTGCCTAATCGCTGTGCCACAAGATGTCACTGTATCCTCAACCACCACCTTCTCTTCTGATGAATCTTACCTGCTAAGCCTGATCTGGCAAGGAAATACCGATAGAGCCTGGTGGTGCCTTGTGACAGGAGAAGGGAAGGGGCAGCAGGAGAAGGGGAGCTAGTGATGAACCCACTAGTGTGCCCGGTGCATCCGAACAGCTGCCTAATCGCTGTGCCACAAGATGTCACTGTATCCTCAACCACCACCTTCTGCAGTGCTGTGCCACAAGATGTCACTGTATCCTCACCACCTTCCGCAGTGCTGTCACCTGCTGTAACACTGCCCCCTTGCTACTCAGGCTCTGGGCAGGTACCAAAACTTTTTTCTGCTGTCTTTCAGAACAGAAAGACAGATAATTGAATGCTGAGGCTTTTCTCCTCTTCCTCCCGCAAAACCCAGTGTGCACGATGGCTTTTTTAGGAGGCCGTTCCGTGCTGAAGTGTTCGAGGCACGATGCTTGGCTTGTTTTCTCAGATGAGGCACAGAGTTGTTCATCATTCAAAGGGGGAGGAAAAAATCTGTGTGTGACATTGGTTGCTACACAGTTGTGTTTGACTTCTTTTAAATTCTTTTAAAGATTTTTTTTTTTCCTATTAAACACTAACACTGGGATATTTAAATGGAAAAGAACAGATCTTTTCAGCCTGAATTGCCATGCCATTACAGTTACTAGGTGGTGTATATTCCTTGCCCCAGTGAAAACCACGAAGTACGTAACTAAGGCAATAAAGTCTGTTTAGTTTTGGTGGGTTTTCTTCCCCCCAATGCTTAACAACTTGATAGTTGCTCCATAGGTCAGAAAACCACAGTGTTAAAGAGAAGGCTCGCTCGGAGCTTGTTTTCTTCTTCCCTTCCCATACACCTCTTGAGGTTTCTAATCCTAATCCAGCGGGGGATTAGATCTGACCAGATGTTTTTAACTTTCTAGTTATAATCGCTGGCTGTGTCAGGCAAGAGCTGAAGACCTCTCTGATATTGCTTCTCTTAAAGCCTTGTACCAGACAGGTAAGTTCAGGGTACCAGTGACTGATGTATATTGTCTTAAAGTGAAAACAAAAATACGGTTATTTCCTTTGGGCTCGAGGGGACGGTAAATCGTGCTAATGAACTAGAAGCCTGGCCAAGAACCAGACCACATCTCTGCGGTAAAGCAGGAATTCTCTCTCGATGGGCTCTGAAGGACTGTGTGGTTAACCCCCCGACTGCTCTAACAGTCTGAGGAAACGTGCCTACCCCGGGTTATCTGTAGCTTTAGGTGTAAATCGTTATGCACCGGCCTAATCTAACAGTAAGGCGCTCCGCATGCGATGCTGCTGCTTTTGGTCTGATTTATCTCCGCTCTGCCCTTACGAAGGAATGGGTGTTCTTTCTGACGATTAGGGTAAAGAATAAGCAGTTACCAAAGCACCTTTTAATATGGCTTTCCCAAACAAAATGATTCCCTCCGTTTCCCTCAGGTTAGGGATGTGTGTGTCTCAGGACTGATGGAACCAGATGCGTTGCAAAAATCCCAGGCTGTGGCTGGAGTTGGGCCCTTTCAAACCAGGGAGAACCAAAGCCTGGCCCGGCAGAGAAGTTTAGACCTGTTTTTCTTCCTTTTGTAGGTGTAGATCACTGTGGCCGCACGGTGATGGTGGTGGTTGGAAGGAATATCCCTGTAACATTGATAGACATGGAAAAGGTAAGGCTTTGTAAAACTAGAGTTGGCATGGGTTGGATATGAATCTTCAGGATGTAAGAGTCTGATTATAGGGGTAATTCAGTGTTAACCCTAGAAACATTTCCTGTAGAAGACGTAAAGGCAATTAAATAGTAACTGTTTTTATAGACAGATAAAACCGTATTCCCTTACAAAGCTTCATGTGTGTTGGGGTGGCTTTTTATGAGGAGGAACTGGACTGTTTTTGAGAAAAACAGGCCTAACCTGGCCTCCCTTTTCTTCTCGAAGAAAGCAATTTGCCCTACTTCTATAACTGTCAAGACACAAAGAGTGAAATGTAATGAGTCAAATTTAGTTTTTCATGGAAACGGCAAGAATTTCTCTCCATCTGTGAGGTCAGCTAGACAGAAAAAGAGACAATGTACCCTGTTACAGTCAAGCTGAAGACCTGGAGCGTTCGCCTCGCTTTTGTAGCTGAAACGTACCCCCACCCCACCGCATGGTTCCCTGTTTGTGAATGAATTAGGGGGAGCATATCAAGACGTAATGCACCCACAAAAGGAGTTCTTCACAAATGTAAACTTCACTTCTTTCTGTCTCAGGCTCTTCTGTATTTCATCCACGTCATGGATCATATTGCAGTGAAGGAGTATGTCCTGGTGTACTTCCACACGCTCACAAATGATTACAATCAACTGGACTCTAACTTCTTGAAGAAACTCTACGACGTGGTCGATGCCAAGTGAGTGTCGGTAGGAGAACCACGTCTCCTGGCCTTCCCCCGGCTCTGCGAAGGGTTGTCATTCCCTCTGACTGGTTTCTCATTTAGTTGTGAGAGATGTGGCTGGCACAGAGACATAAATACCAAAGGCAAGAGGAAGGACGATGTTTTTTTCTTTCCTTCTCAAAACCATCTGATAAACCAGGAGGTCCCGTCCTGCAGTCTCCCTTCTGGAGCTGTTGGAGGCGCATACTGAGTGTGTTGTCCGTCTCTATCCAGAGGTGGAACCTCTGGAGCCTGGCTTTAAGTACGTTGCTGGTTGTGAGGGAATAGGCTTGGATAATGCTGACAGTCACTATTTGTCCATGACTTTCACTTTCCACGTAAAAGACTGCAGGCTATGATGTCTTTTTAGCTGAAAAACAATCATTCTGCCTTTTTTTCCCCTTCCTTGACACTTGTTTTTCTGGTATTTGCCCTCATATTAGATCTAACTTCGTATGGATTGCATCACAGGCTCTTCAGCAAAATGATCCTGTTTTGACAATTGGGTCGTGTGGGTGAGGCTTAATTAGAAGTTACTTTTAATGGCTTTTTTTTTCTTCTAAACCAGGTACAAGAGGAACCTGAAGGCACTGTACTTTGTCCACCCAACATTTCGCTCAAAGGTGAGGTGCACAGTACAAAAACGTGTTTCGGGTGTTGGTGGAGTAGCACCCCAGGCCCTAGCATGAGGAGCGCGGAGGTGTACAGAAAACTTCCAGAAGTAGGCAATATCTTCTGGATCCACGGTCGGAACTCGGAGTTCATCCCGTCTTTGGCCTAGCTCTAGTCTTCCAAGCTCAGCGGTCAGCTGAACGCCGAGGCGGCACAGCCGCCTGCGCCCCGTGTTGCGTGCGCTCTGAGCAGCGAGAGGGGGAAGCGTTGGGTCTTGTTTCTTTCCAAGAGAAACACTTTGTCCTTTATCCTGCTGTCTGGTCGGCGGGGTGAGGAACCACAACCATTCCAGGTGACTCCTAGAATTCCTTTTTGGCGTGGTTTGGACGTCTCGCCCTTTCTTTCCCCACGGGTGGTATCGCACGTGTGCTGCGCGGGAGCTGCCCTGCTGAGGGCCGAGGGTGGCGTGTCAAGCCGCGATGAGGTTAGTCAGGATTATGGGGTGGAGGGTAACGGAGACAGACAGGAAGAACGCCTCTGGCCTGGAGTGCAGAAAAATCCCCTTAAGCCTTCAGAGGATGAAAACCTGAACTCGGCAGGCCGTGAGATACTCCCTTTGGGTATGATCTGTGTGGGGCAACAGAGGATGGAGCTTGCTCCCTCCTGTGCTTCTTGCACACTTCTACAGCAGCAGAGAACTGTCAGCAGCAGCCCTTCCCAAAACTTCTGTTGGTCCTATTAAAAGTTAGAAACGAGATGCTCCGTGTTCACATCGCATTAACCTCTGTGTTTATTCTGCTTTCTGCTGACTGATCAAGTTTGAGAAAATTACACGCCCGGAGGAAAAAAAACACCACACATCTGTTTGCACGTTTTCAGCAAGAATTTCTTTGACTGCTAATTTCCAGAGAGCCCTTCCATTGCGTGTGCGCCGCTGGGACACCCTGAGATTTACAGCTTCCTCGCTTTTATGTATGTAGATGAGCCTGAGGCTTCCCAGCAGCATTACCTTACCTTATCTGTCAGGATATTAATTATTCCCACAGAGTACAGAGCAGAGGTCTGAGTGTGAGCGAGAGCTTCCCGCTCTGATGCTCCTAAAAACTGTAGGAGCTGGCAGAGGATGTGACTGAGGTCTCAATTTTGAGTCGAACAGTTGAATCTGGGAAGTGCCCAGTGTGTTGGGTTCCCAGCAGCACTTCACTCCCCTCCTCTCTTCCCATGCGCTTCGACTTGGTTGAGAAACTTCTTTTTCTTGGAGGATGGGAACTTGTGTTCACCATTCCATTGCCTCGTTCTCTGTCCCTTTGGGAACCGCAGTGGAACTCGGCAGACCTATAGGGCAAGCAGATAGCTGCTGGGGAGCAGGGAGGGCGAGAGAATTGGAGCCCTCTCGCTTGCTGGAAATGGAATTGGTTTGTGTTTTATTGTAGCAGCACAGCTGGAGGCAAAAGGTGATGTGTGTCCGTGTTTTCTGCCAAGCCTTTTCCCTAACCGCAAGGCAAGCGGGATCGCTGCTGGCGGCTGCAGAGACCATCAGCCTGTGGAACGTGATGGGGAATACGCAGCAGAAAGTCCCAGTGGAGAAAGGTGCTGCTAAGAGGGAATGACTTCTCTCTCTCCCCCTTTTTTGGCTGTTCCAGGGCTGTTGTCCCTGTGGAAGATTGTTAGCCCAGAAGCCTCAAGTATCTTAGAAAACATTTGGCACGTTCATTTTCCTGCTTGGAGCGTTGACTTCCTTTCCTAGAAATAGTGGAAAATCTCCCACGTCTCTAACGTGGGAGGAAGGCTCGCGCGTTCACGCAGATTCCCAAACCCATCGCCCTCGTGCATGCGTCTCCTTCTTAAATCTGACCCGAACGGGCTTTACCGCGTCTCCTGGTAACTCGTGTGCCCCTAGAAAACAAGTTTCGTTCTGAAAGGGCTTCCTAGTGCCATGGTTTGGTTTCTGGGTGTGAAACTTGTGAATTATGTGTGTCCCGAGGATAACTGCCTGTGTAGGAAGCCTGGTTTTTGGTACTTCAGCAGGTTTCCTAAACGCAGAGTAACCGAAGCGGGCTGTGTCACTGCACAGTCTGGCTTTGTACACTGATCCCAGCTTCCCTCACGCTGTGAAGTCAGCGTTCCTGTGGGTAACGGGATTCTCCCGTGGTGCTGCTGAAACGTAACCGTTCCTACCGTGAAGCCGTGGCGGCGGTGGCAGTTCCGAAGGCTGACAGCACCTGCCCTCGGATGGAGATGCCCCTGAAGTGCTGTGACAAACTCCCTCGTGCTCTTGCGTGTGAATGTCCTGCTTCTGCCGGTGTGGAAATCGCGGGCTTTGGGGGCGGTTTTGTGCCTCCTCTCTGCTCCCCTCCGCTGAGAGCCCTCCCAACAACACTCCACGGAGCTTAGGGTGTTCCGAGTGGAGCGTCGGTGGCTGGATCTGAAACCCTGGCACCCAGAGAAGCTCCGTTTTCATGAATCCAGTCACTCTGCTCTGAATCAAGAATATTCCAAAACTTAAACATCCCTGAATACTCAGATGTTCGTAGTCTTTACACCCATCGTGAACCGTGCGTTTCTGTAAGGGCGCAAACAGTTTCTGGAGCGCAGGTGCCACCATAAAGGCTGTTGTGAATCACTTAATGGCTTTTTCTATGCAAGATCCTTCCAATCGTAATAAAACTGCCCAGATATTACTGCGTTTCCCTTTGGGGTATGACCAGGTTAAGAGATTGGGGAGACCTGACCTGTCCTTGGATACCTGAACCCTGTGGCTGTCCAGCTTGGCGGAGCGACTTTGATAGTCTTTTATTCGCATTCAGAACCGCAGGACGAGAAAAATGAAGGAAAAATTCAGCAAATGACTATTTTTACCTTCTTTTGGCTGCTCTGGTATAACTTACTCTACTTTCAGTGCCGTAACAGGGATTTCCTTTAAGTTTTCTGCCCTCTTACCAGTAAGGAAACTGCTGCTCTTGTACTGCTGTTTCTATAACCTCCCGTTACAGAGGATGAACTGATCTAAACGTTCAGTCCTGTTCTTTACCTCCTTTTCTCTCTCGTTGTTCCTTTCTCATGAAAATAGGCTGTTTTGAGGGGGCAAAATAGTTACTGCAGCACAGTTCTTGGGCATTGACTTAACTGGTATGGTCAGGCAGATCACTTTTATTCATCTAATGTTTTAGGCTATTTGAAACTCCCACTTTCCCCAAGGCTTTTCTTGGGGTCTTGCTGCTTTCCTGTCAACTCACTGCAGTCAAAGGACAACTCTCGAACAGAACCACAGGGTGGTCAAGGTTGGAAGGGACCTCTAGGAGTCACCTGGTCCGGGCCCCCTCCTCAAATGGGGTCAGCGAGAGCCGATCGCCCAGGACCATGTGAGCAGTTGTGAGCTGTAGAACCTCTTGTTCTCACAAGCTTTTTGGTCTTTTCCCCTCATTCTGCCAGGAAAACGCTGGATAGGAAGTATACAAAAAGTAACATAGCGCTTAATTTTGGAGAAGGTGGGTTTAAAAGTAAAAGCTTACGCAGTCAGTCTAAACAGGAATAGTTAGTAACTCATGGAAGTGTCAGCGGTGTCTTGCTGGCCTTTACAAAGCAAAAATTCCTTATCCTGCTCACAACCAAAGAGGCAGAGGCGTGTCTACTTAAAGGGAAATCTTGTGGAATGAGTTGATGTGGCTGTGATTAGAGATGCAGACCAGAAGGACACCGTCACTCAGCCAACCCAAAGCAGAGAGGAGACGTCAGCAGGACCTTTGAACAGCTGAAGGCATCTCCTTCTCTCCCTCACGTTTCCTTTTCTACGGAAACCTGAGGGCAGAGGGTTGAAAATGCTGCTGTCGGATACAGTCAAACAGGTCACGTTCTGAGCTGGCTAAACTGCGAGTGAAAACGTGGGTTTGGAGACCCGTAGCAGAACAGCCCTCACTCTTGTAGGGTAGAAAGGGACCCTAAACCGGCAGCTGGGGAGGAGCGAGTGGAGTCGGGAACACTGGCTGGAAAGCTCTCGGGTCAGCGGTGTGTCCTTCCTGACCCCGTTGTCTTGTCGCCGTGCTACGAGTGTCTCGAGTTGAACTCGAGCCTGATGTCGTGGTTTAACTACAGAGTATCGTGGTGAGCTCGAAGGTTTTGAAACGGCACCGTCTTCATTGGGTTTTGCTGGGGTTTATTTTCAGGTCTCGGCATGGTTTTTTACAACCTTCACGGTCTCAGGGCTAAAGGACAAAATCCACTATGTGGAAAGCCTCCAGCAGTTGTTCACAGCCATACCCCCGGAACAGATCGACCTCCCCCCTTTCGTCCTGGAGTACGATGCCAGGGTAAGTGACCGCCTGTGGCAAGCACGAGTCTCTGCTCTCAAGTGTGGTTCTTGCGCATCTCCCGTTCTGCCCTGCTTCACAGGAGCTTCACAGGGGCGACTTCCACCTCGTTAGAAGGGGGAGGGTTCCTGGGGAGTCTGTCTGCTCTTGGAGTAACACTTTTCTTAAAATCATCCTTTTTCTACATCAGAAGGCTTGGCTAACACGCAGGCTCCTTTCCCGGTAGAGCAGCCTTCTGCCTGCGCTCCAGCCGAGAGCCGCGGCGTAACGCGGCGAGAGCCTGCGGACAAGTTAACATTCACGTTACGTACGCGCTGCAGGCCTTCTGCTGACGGCAGAAATGACCCCAGCCCGATGCCGCCTGTGTTTCACCTCCCCTGTCCCACGTATCCACAAGCACACGGGAAGGAAAAAACGAGCAGTGGGGGAAAATGTAACTGTCGCGGGGTGCCTTGCCTTTGTGTTGGTCCTCCCTCCTCCTCCCTTCCCCGTCCCAGGTCTCTGCCTGAGTGGTGGAATGGGTATGGCTTGCACTGGCCAAATCATCCTGGAGATGCTCCGAGGGCTGGAGCCCCTCTGCTATGGGGACAGGCTGGGAGAGTTGGGGGTGTTCAGCCTGGAGAAGAGAAGGCTCCGGGGAGACCTTATAGCACCTTCCAGTGCCTGGGGGGCTACAAGGAAGCTGGGGGGGACGTTTTACAAGGGCCTGTAGTGACAGGACAAGGGGTAACGGGTTTAAATTGAAAGTGGGGCGGTTTAGATTGGATATCAGGAAGAAATTCTTCCTGGAGAGGGTGGTGAGGCACTGGGACAGGTTGCCCAGAGAAGCTGTGGATGCCCCATCCCTGGCGTGTCCAAGGCCAGGCTGGATGAGGCTTTGAGCAACCTGGCCTGGTGGAAGGTGTCCCTGCCCACGGCAGGGGGGTTGGAACTGGATGGGCTTTAAGGTCCCTTCCCACCCAAACCATTCTGTGATTCCGTGAGGAGGATGCTCTGTAGCTGCGAAGTGGCAGCCCAAGCTGTGTGTCTGTATAACCGACGCTCTCTTCGGCAGCTGGCCATGCTAGCCCTTGGGTCTTCCTTGTGTCACAGCTTTGGCTTCATGCCAAAACTCGAACCTGCATTTCTTGCCTAAAACAAGGTTTTGCCTGGTTGCCAGCACGGTCCTCTCCAGACGCAGCCAGGAGTCTCTGTTTATCTCTCCCTCTGGGCCATCGTCGGTTGCACCGGGGTGTGTGGGAGACGAGTTCTGTTCACTGCTCCTCCCGTTCTCGTTGCAGGAAAACGGGCCTTATTACTCTTCCTATCCTCCGTCCCCTGACTTGTGAGCTGCAGTCCTGCCATGCTGCTAGTTTCCCATGGATCCAATGACCGGCTGCCTGCCAAAACCTGTGCATTTGCCCATGTACAGAATTCAGAGAGAGGGTTTTCCTCCCCCAGCTCTGGTATTTTTTTACTGATGAGATATTTTCAAGCACTCAAGCAATCAGAGAACTTTGTGCCACTGTGAACTGTACGACTATTTCAAATATATTTATCCAATGGAAGAGTTGATTTAAGGATCACCAGGTGCATTTTGGTTTGTTCTTTTTGAAGCTGTTATTGTTTCTGAACAGACTTTCTCTTTTTCTGGGAAATCCATCCGAAGCCCTTGATCGTGTTTTTTTTAACTGTTACCATTTTCCTGCCCCGTTTGTAATACCCGTTTCTGACTGGTCCCTACAAACAGCGTGTAGGACCAGCCTGACGCGTTGCTAATCATGTGCTCTCTGTGTTTCACACCTAATTACTTCCCCTTTCGGTTAGTGCCGATTTCCTTTGGTCTTGACCCAGCAGAAGTATCTGGAACCGGGAATGCCGTGTCTGCAGGCTTAAAGCACTACAGCCAAGCCAAGGTTACCGCAAGGCTTCGTACCCTAAATGCCACCTGAGCCTTGACGAAGTCCCTCTCGGTTTTCATTGGATGATGTGACATGTCAGGAGGCCACTACCTTCCCAGTAAGAATAAAACTGAAAAACATTTGCAGTTTCCTCTCTCTGACTGTAGTTGTTTGTCTTCCCCTTGGACGTGGCCAGGTGTGTTTGTACGAGAAACGAATGCCGTCTGCCTGAGGTGGGTATGGAGGGGAGGGGGAAGCGAGGACTCCGACCCCAGCCCCTGGCAGAGGTGTTCTCGGGGGTTCCCGTGTCCCTTTTATTTCCTGGTACGCCGACGCTCCCCGGTGTTGACTGACAAGGGTACGTGTACAGCCCGCGGGGTGCTCGCGGGACCGGCGGCGAACAGCGTTTCGGCCTGCCAGCGGGGAGCTAAAAGAGAAGGGAGAAGGCTGCCTTGGAAAACACCGTCAGGGCTGGCTGTCCCAGATCCGGAAGGATGGAATTCCTGGTGGGAAGAACCTCACAATTGTACTAAACGTGAAGATGGTGGTGCAACGTTCGTGTTTTCATTCCCGCTGCTTTCCTGCCCTGACCTCTGTCTGCTGTTCTCTCTTTGCCAGAGCTCAGTTTTTCCATGTTCTGAGAGTTGAGGTTTCTCTAGGTCAGGAGTGGGGTGAAAGATGGGCCCCGCTGAGTTTCTTTCCTACCTCAACCTCTCCCGGCTTAACGTGGTGTCTATACTCCAGGCATTGGTTACGGATGCTCGGCTGGGGTTCAACGGTCAGGCATACCTAACGGATAAAAAGCCGAGTGGTTCTGCTTTTTTCGGTGTCCCCCGGGGTCCTTCTGCCATTCCGTTATCGGAGGCGGGCTGCTGATAAAAGCTGGAAGCTGCAGCACAGCGGAAAACCACCTGGGTGTTAGCGGTTGGGAGGGTTGCACCTTATGCTCAGCTCGGGCGTGATGGGCGCTTCACGGGTGCCTTTTGAGAAGGAAATAGCAGCCGCCACGTGTCCCTGCCTCCGCTTTTCCCGTCGCCGTTTACAGCCGCCTCGGTCTAGTGACTTTTTTTTTTATGGCCGGTGGTGAATTTTCCATGCTTCCCTGACGGGCTGTACGGCTTCCCACCCCCGTGAGCCATCTGCTGTTTTTCACACCCGTGGCGTTTCCAGTGGGGCTGGTGCGGCGTAGCCGGTGGCCGCTCCGTAGGCAGATTAAAGGGGATTTGGAGCGTGTTGGGAAAACCCCGCCCTCAGCTTTGCAGTTGTTTAGATGGTTTCTGTCCCTTGAGCTCACAGATGGCTCAGAGTCATAAAACCTAAGGAGTTCTCCTCAGGACTCGGTCTGCACGTTTCTCAAACCCTGGTCCAGTCATTTTAAGGAATGACTTGGCTCGGCGAAGCGCGAATCTGCCTCCAGAGCATTTGCGGAGCGGCGATCGGCGCTGTGTGTCTCCTCGTGTGTATTTTTCCTTTAAAAGACTTTGCTTTAAAGCTTTATTTTTGTTGTTTTTAACCCAAATCTCAGCGGCAGGACAGAGCTGCGTCGTGCCGCAAAGATCCCGCGTCTTCCAGCGACCCTGGAGTTGTGGCAATTTACCGAGTGCTTTTTAACGGAGTCTTTTAAAAGTAATATGCCAGTGGGGGGTGGAGGGGGAGGAAAAATCATGTAGACGCTCAGGATATTCACTGCTATTAAAAAGTTTAACTGTTTAATAGGCAACAATAGCGTCTGACCTGTGTTCAGCGTAGCAGAGAGGAACAGCAGCTCACCCCCGCGGGTGGTGGGTACGACGCTTTCCTCTTGAAGAGGCCTGGGAGGCACAACGGTGCGTTCTAACGCCCCTACGGGCTGCGGTCGCCGCAGAGCTGAAAGTTCTGGTGAAGGCTTTGCTGCCTTGCTTGGCTTTACTGCCTTGATTTCGTACCGTCGGCAGGCTCAGAAGGGGGAGTCTCCGTAGGGAAGGGCGTTAGCCTAACGATGAGCGTCGTTATTCTCACCGTGACTCCGTGCGTGGTGTGGGCCGTAGGGTGACGTCGTCTTCAGGAAAACTGGGATGTGGTGCTTAGGCGCTTGTTGACCACACCTGACAGCAGCCTCCGTTCCCTCGCTGGCAGAGCGGTGACGAAGAGCCGGGGTCCGTCAAGCCGATGTCTGACCGCGGGCGGGTGACCCCAGGTGTCTGGGCCGACCCGCTGCCGTTTGGCCAAGCCGCGGTCTGAAGCCTTGGCCAAGGCAGTGGAAGACGAAGTGTCTGGCGGCCGCTTCTCCCGTTGTGTTTTGTGCCTGTTTCTTAACCAGATGCTGTTGGGAGTAGGAAGTGGCAAGAGGTCGTTGGCAGAGGCAGGCTGTCGGCTTTCTGCGGGCCGCTGTGCCAGCGTGAATTTGCCGTGTACGCTTGGATTTGAGCTGCCCTTTTTCCTGCTTTTACAAGATCCTGGAAGGAAAGCGGAGCTGCTGCGTTTCTCTGGCATCTCCTCTTCCCTTCGCGCTCGTGTTTTCCTAGCGTACGTGCCTCTGCTGCCCCAGCTTTGTGCTGAATTAGGCCTTCTCCCCACTCTGTCCCCGAGCGTTTCTGTGGCTGTACTGCTGCAAAGGATTAGCATCCCGCTGCCCCGTGTGAAACTAATTTACATGGACCTGCTATTCCACAAGCTGATACCAGCCCTTCTCTGCCCAACTGAAAAACAAGAGCAAAAGGAGTTACCCCCTTCCCTTGGTCTCTCTGGCACGAGTCTCCTCTCACATCCGTGACCAAGCAACCGAGCAAATAATCCCAATCTGAAACTTGTTTGCACCTGGAATAGGAATTCCTGAATATGTTGATTCTGGCTAAACAGGAACTGGTCCCAGTGACTTCTGTTAGCAGGTGCAGGCCTGGGAGGGTAAGGGAAGTGTTTCAGCTGCATTTGGGGAAGAGGGTAAGAAGCCATTTACCTGGAACCACTCAATTTGTGGCCCTCCAGTGCAAGGAGGGCAAACACCCACACCTAGCCTCTACTCCTAAGGCAGCTGGCCCACTGACTTTTCCTCGGTCTCCCATGGGAAAGGAAGGGATCCCGAGTTAGAAGGATAAACGACGCAGTATGTAGACCTGCAATAGGCTAAGGTGAGGCTACGGGAGAGCTAAAGCAGCCCAGAGCCGCACTGGAGCAGTGAGAGGTGAGCAAACCTGCTGCTGCCGGGCACCGTTCCCTTCCAAAGCTGAATGAAAGGTGGTTTGTGCCCCAGGAATGGGATGCTGGGCCCTCTTGGCTCATAGCTCAAGCCTGGAGAAGGGAAGGCTCCGGGGAGACCTTATAGCACCTTCCAGTGCCTGAAGGGGCTACAAGGAAGCTGGGGGGGACTTTTTACAAGGGCCTGTAGTGACAGGACAAGGGGTAATGGGTTTAAACTGAAAGTGGGGAGGTTTAGATTGGATATCAGGAAGAAATTCTTCCTGGAGAGGGTGGGGAGGCACTGGGACAGGTTGCCCAGAGAAGCTGTGGATGCCCCATCCCTGGAAGTGTCCAAGGCCAGGCTGGATGTGGCTTTGAGCAACCTGGTCTAGTGGAAGGGGTCCCTGCCCATGGCAGGGGGGTTGGTGCGGGATGGTCTGTAAGGTCCCTTCCAACCCAAACCAGTCTGTGATTCAATATGCTTAAAACTAAAGCAAAGTGTGTGGGGAGGGTGTTCCGCTACTGGTCCCAGAGAAGATGGAGCCCTTTCCTCAGGAGAAGGGGGGAAGTGCCATGTAACGGTTAAGGACTGCAGAGTTTAAAATGCTACACGCTCTGCTGTATGGCCTCTTCCTCCTTGGAATACCAGGTGGGTTTCAGATAAGCAGACAACTACTTGACTCTACAGTCCCCCTAAAATATTTTAAATGGCATAACCATTCGCAGCATGTGGAACTGAAAAAATGCCAAGATTCCTAATGCACTTTAGACATAGCTATGGGGGAGGTGGCTTTGCTTGGAAGGACATCGTGTACGAAAACGAGGGGAAGGGGATTGTATCAGATGATCCACAGCAGCCGCTCTGCCAGCACAGCATCTGGTTTTAATCAGCTAATCAGATCCTGTTTGAAGCCTCTCTCAGCTGTGCTTCCCTTGAAAACCAAATTCCCTGTCCAGATGAGGCAGGGCTGCTCGCGATGACGGCGCGGTTGGCTCACGCGCAGCAAAACTCAACGTAGCGTGCGCTCAGCGAAACGTGAGGAGAAGAAGCCCTCGCTCCGAGGAAGACGTGGGCGGCAGAACCTCATCTTCATTCCTCCCATCTACTGGAGGAGTCTTATTCTCCTCATTTTTGGGGGTGAGGAGGAAAAGGAAGGTTGTTAGAAGCCCACCCCTGTGCAGCGGAAGGAGGGACCGCCTGAGGCATCGAGCAACACTTCAGCATCCTCATCTAACACTGGTGCTTTCTGGGTGGAACTGATTTTAGGAGCGAGATGTGGCTCTGTAGCCAGGGAGTCTGTAACGGCATGAGGAGCCTGGAGAGACGGTGCCTGGAGCGGAGACCCAAGCGAGCGCACGCGCCAACTCTGCCTTCTCTCTGCGTTCATCAGCCCGGCCCTGGCTCGTCTCTGCCTGGTGCCTGCAGCGGAGTGGCCGTCCCCATATGGGGTGTTCAGACCGCCTGTCAGGGAAGCTGCGGGAAGATGTGACGGGCTTGACCTCGGTCCTTT